GGTGTAGTTGAAGAGCTGGTATCTTCCATCGTAGTGGGGTTGTGGAACTCGGTTTGTTCGACTGTTACATTTTCAGAAGTTATATCGGCTTCTGTTGTCGTACTGGTGACCAATATCAATGTAGAAGTGCTAGTTACAATCAAGTTTGTTGGTGTCAGTGAAGAACTGGTACCCTCTGTCGTGCTCCAGGTCGGTAACTCTGTCTGTTCTGCTGTCGGACTTTCGATAAGCGTCTGAGCTTCTGTTGGAATACTAGTGGCAGAGGCTACTGTCGAACTGCTGGTCATAGTCCAAGTTGTTGGCGTGGTTGAAGAACTCGTACCTTCCGTCGTGTTCCATATTGGTAGCTCCGTCTGCTCTGCTGTCGGACTTTCGATAAGCGTCTCAGTTTCTGTTGGAATATCAGTGGCAGAGTCCACTGTCAAAGTGCTTCTCACAGTCCAAGTCGTTGGTGTAGTTGAAGAACTCGTACCTTCTATCGTGGTGGAGTTCCCTAACTCGGTTTGTTCGACTGTTACATTTTCGGAAGTTACATCGGCTTCTGTTGTTGTATTAGTGAGAAACGTCAATGTAGAAGTGCTGGTTAGAATCCAGTTTGTCGGTGTCGGTGAGAAACTTGTATCTTCTGTCATGCTCGAAGTCGGTAGCTCCGTCTGTTCTGCTGTTTGACTTTGGATAAACGTCTGAGCTTCTGTTGCAATACTAGTGGCAGAGGCCACTGTCGAAGTACTGGTCACAATCCAAGTCGTTGGTGTAGTTGAAGAGCTGGTATCTTCCTTCATCGTGGTGGAGTTCCGTAACTCCGTTTGTCCGACTGTCAAATTTTCCGAAGTTGCATCGGCTTCTGTTGTTATATTAGTGAGAAACGTCAATGTAGAAGCGCTGGTTAGAATCCAGTTAGTCGGTGTCGGTGAAGAACTTGTACCTTCCGTCGTGTTCCAGGTCGATAACTCTGTCTGTTCTGTTGTGGGACTTTCGATAAGCGTCTGAGCTTCTGTTGGAATACTGGTGGCAGGGGCCAATGTCGAAGTGCTGGTCACAATCCAAGTCGTTGGTGTAGTTGAAGAGCTGGTATCTTCCATCATCGTGGTGTTGCGTAACTCGGTTTGTTCGATTGTTAAACTTTCGGAAGTTACATCGGCGTTTGTTGTTGTACTGTTGACGAACGTCAGTGTAGAATTGCCGGTTACAATCCAGTTTGTCGGTGAAGAACTGGTACCTTCCGTTGTGCTCGAAGTCGGTATCTCCGTCTGTTCTGGTGTGTGACTTTCGATTACCGTTTCAGCTTCTGATGTTGTACTATTGGTAGAGGGAACTGTGGAAGTGCTACTCACAGTCCAAGTAGTTGGTGTAGTTGAAGGGCTGGTACTCTCTGTCGAGGTAGTAGCCGCTAACTCGGTTATCGCGACTGTTAAATTTTCGGAAGTTGCCTCAGCTTCTGTTATTGTATTGGTGGTAGAGGACAGTGTGACCGTGCTGGTCATAATCCAGATTGTTGATGTGGATGAAGAGCTGGCACTCTCCGTCGTGGTCGATGTGAGTAATTCGGTTTGTTCTGGTGTTTCACTTGGAAGATTGGTGTCAGTGTCGGTTGAAATACTGGTGGCAGACGTCTGTGGAAACGTGATATTCACAATCGAAGTCGTTGATGTAATTGAGGAACTGGTACTGGCTGACAATGTGTTGGTTAGGAAATCGGTTTGGATGGTTGTTTGACTGTCGCCATTAGAATCAGTTTTTGTTGTAAGACTGGTACTAGGAGTGTATGTGGAAATAATAGTGGCGG